GTAGAGCCAATGCATCCATAAGAGGGATGTGTATGTATATAGAAGCAGCCTACTGATCAAGAAAATTGGAATTAAAATCCATTCTTTTAGTTTTTTAAAATAAAATTTTGGTTATGAATTATCTAAAAATCCCAATACTTTTTTTATTGATTAAGTTATTTTCTTTCTAAAGACAAAATGGAAAGTTGACAATTGGAATTCTCCGTACCATTTCACCAATTCAAAAACTGAAGATCTGGCAAAATTTGAGCCATATATCTACAAGACTAGGCTTCGCTTGGATTTTTCAATTTTTGAAAAACAAATTTTTCATATACAGTGTTCTATAATACACAAATAAAAATAACTTCCAAACACCACATCCACAATATATCAAAAACAACTCCAAATATAAAAATAAAAAAAAATATACTACACCGACTACAAAAACACACCACCACCCGCCACCTTCCCCCTCTCTCTCCCTCCTTCTTCTTCTCCTCCCTCCTCCTCTTCCCCTCCCTTTCTCCTCTCTTTCTTCCTTCCCCTTCTTCCTCTTCCTCCCCTCCTCCTTCCTCCTCACTCGTCTCCACCCGCCACCCCTCTCGCGCTCTCTAGTCACCGCACAACCAATTTTGTTGCGACCCGCGTTCAGAAAGGGGGAGATGGGGTGGCAGGAAAGGTGCGATAGAGAGAGGAAGGAGGAGGGCGAGATGGTGATGATGGTGTAGATTTATATAAATTTTTAAAATATTTCATTAATATTTTAATTTTAAAAATATTTCAAAATATATTGTCAAAAACACCATTAAAAATATTTACAGTAAAAATTTTTCATCTAAATTGTTACAGTAAAATATTTTAAAAATGCCCCCAATTGCCTATTTGGTAAACCTTTTCGCAACAGTTGTGCAGCCCTCTTATTGTGGATTTAATGATTTTAAATTCACCATTAAGGATCTAGGCCACCTGTCTATAGATCACTTTACAAATTTCTTTAAAGATAACTTTCATCATAAATGTTTTGGAGACAGCTCTCTATCATCTCCGTCTATTCTTATCTTAATCCTGTGCTAATAATTAAGCTATAAATAAAGTGCAATGATATCAAATTTTTAGACCAGTGCTTATTTGAAAAAAACTAGAATTGCCTATAAATTCGACGAACAACCTTCAATTTCAATAAAAATGTATTGCATACACAGGACCACAATCAGGAAGAAATTTCAACAGGAAGATCACATATAATCAGAAGATTTTTTTTCCCATATGCAAATAGAATAGAGTGAACATACTTTTTTGTGATTGTTGTTAGTTTGACGGCAATTCTTGATTTGAAATTGACATACAAAAAAACAAGGAAAATATCAAGCTATTTGTAGTTAACCTATAATTCAAATAGTTCTCTCTGCTGGGATTTGAATCTTGAGCCTACCAGTTGAAGGATAGAAAGGATGTGGAGAAAGGTGGAAAGTACAAAAAAAAAAAAAAACTATAATTCAAATAGTAATCTTTACTACTATGTAAAAAGTAAGACCTTATTTGTATTGCATTTTTTGGCAGAAATTTGTTTTAAAAGTTTTCGTGAGAATATTCCTTCTCAAATTTTTCAATCACCTTTTTTTATCTCACATACATCACCTTTTTACCTATGAAAAGTGCTACAGTAATTTTTCTCCAAAATTTCATTAAGTCATGCAATCCAAACATGCTCTAAAATTTCATTTATTTGTTTTCAATATTTACTTGGGATGAACACAAAATTCCGTACAGGAAAAAAAATGGAGGAACAATTTTGTAATCCAAAAAGCAAAGGGTACTCAAAGAATTAATTAGAACCCCCTTTTGACTCAATTGGTACTCCGAATCTAGAACTAGAAGTTCAAGGCAATTGATTAGTGGGCCAAACTTGCAAGTTAATATACTGTGGAAATATGAATGCCAAACTAACTCAACAAGACACCAGCTTTTCTTTATGTTTCTTTCAAGTTTAAACTTAACTACTCAGCATAGTAGCATCTAATAGTCAACTTAATACACCTACTAAATCTGATGTAACAAAATTTACAATAGAACATTTTTTATTTGACAAGCTTTTAATTTCCAAAAATAATTTACAGGAAATCACTTTTGACATAAATTAAACTAATCGCTTTTTTTTTTTTTTTTTCAAGTTGTGACTAGTCATAGGTACTCTCACAATATTTTAAACCACCCGTGAGTTGTGTCTACTCATTGTGAGCAATTATTCTTGGGGTCCCTCTCATGATGGCTGTTGTCATTTTCCAGATACCAGAAAGATGTTAATAACGAAAGGAAAAAAACATTGTTGGCTTTCTATTTACCCTTTTTTTGTTTAGTAGAGAAGCCAAAGTGGGCAGCCAACTCCAGAAATGTTACAATTTTTTTTTCTCTTTTGGGAGGGTGAATTGTTACAATCTTAGGGAATCTGGTTGACCTTCACAAGCTGACACAGTATTATCTACTAAGTACTGGGACGACTTGTGATGATGGGGTTTTGTATGCTCTCCTCTGTTTAGTTTCTGTCCAATCTATTTTTGATGTGAATGACGAAAGAAAAGAAAAGAAAAGAACTCGAGTGGTGATGTAGATAGCACTTCTTCAACCTTAGTGTTTAAATGGTTAAAATAAACGGATTAGGAGTTAGGACTCATAGGCAAAGCTCAATCTAGTTCAGTTCCATCAAATTTAGGAAAATTACCATCCTCGGTGTTATTGGATATATCGGAATGATCTGTCTAACGGGTGCTCTATCGTTAAAATGTATTTCAGGTGTTAGATTTTTAGAAATATAAGATTAATTAAGGAAAGTGTATAAATGTAATGAGATTAATTAGAAAAAGATATAAATACAGGAGAAGTAGTAATTGTTAGTACGTGTATATGCATGGTAAGTTGTGTAGAACATAGATATGTTAACGAGTGTTCATAGGACATCCGTTAGAAAAACTCATATTTGAAAACATGCTTGCTGAACCTTTTCATGAAAGTCTTGGGCAGCGTTCCAAACTTGAAGTCCTTTATATTTTTGATAATTTAATGGAAGACATTGTGAGTGAGAGCCTACTTGATAATCTGACAGGTTAAGGTATTTTGATGCGCCTGGAAACTCCTTGACCTTAAAAGTAAGTGCAAGTTGGATGCCTCGTGCCCAATCTATAGAACTTGAATTGGCTTCCTGGAAGTTGGATGCTCAATTCACCCAATCTAAAGAACTTGGATTGGCTTTCTGGAAGTTGGGTTCTGAATTTCCTGCATAGCTTTAGTCACAAAACGACTTTAGATGTTAAACTTCTTCTATACAGGAATTCGTGGCTCTTTCTCACAATCAAATTCCTGATAAGAGTTCAAATATATTTGAAATTGTTAAAAGACTTATGTATACACTTTGATCAAACAGATTCAATGGCTCACCACCACGATTAATTTCTCAGTCACTGTCATATTTAGACCTTTCTAACAATTTGTTTTTAAGAGCTATCTCTTACCTTTTTTTTTTTTTGCGAAGTGAAGAATGAGAGACAAGTTCTTAAATATCTGGATCTTAGGGAAATTCTCTATCAGAAATTCCTGATTGTTGGATGAATTATCCAAATATAAGATACGTGAGTTTGGACAGCAATAACAAAAAATTTTTTTTGGGTTTTTGGGTATAACTTCATAAGAAACATTCCAAGGTAACTGGAAAATTTAGATGATCTGTATCATTTGGACTTGGGCAATAACAGCCTCACTAGTCCGATGCCTTTGACTTTTTAAAACATGCACAAGCTTGCTTCATAGGTGTACAGATCATATGGGAAAAATGGGAAGGAGTTTAGATGATGGTTTAAGTGGTTTCAGGAATTGCTCTCATACACGGGAAGCTCTTGGGCCAAGATGTAAGTGAAGTTTCATTTTCTTGATTTGTTCCTCTGCAACGGGCTAAGGCCCTCCATCCATCTGAAAAAAAAAAAAAAAAAAGTTTCTAGTCATTGATGTTGGTGTTCGGCTTCGTTTTAAGTCTATTCCATTCCATATGAGGTGTTTAGAAAACATACAAGAGTCGGTGTGCATTCAAGCCGAATCAAATTGGAGTAATACATGCTCAAATTCGAACTCTTGACAGTTTCAAACTCGAACTCGATCTAATAAAGATTTTAAAGCTCGAACTCGACTCAAACAAGTAGTATATGAGCTCGAGTTCGACTCGAATGAGCTCGAAAATAGTTATGAGCTACTTGAAATCGAACTCAATTTTTTAGTGGTAAATTTCACAATTTTCATACCAATAAGTGTAATTTCACATATATATTATTTGAAATTAAAAAAAGCCTAATTACTCAAATAAACTCATGAAACACTCGAGACTCCTTCTCTAAGACTCATGCTCAACTTGAATTCACGAACAAGCTGCTCGATCTCGGCGAGTCGAGCCGTTGACTAGCCTGCTTACGAGCAGTTTGAATCTCTAGCAGCCCTATACAAGAGATTTGTGGAGTAATTTGATGCTGACCAGCATAGATATTTGATGCACTTTTCTTTCTAGTGAAAAAGGAAAAAGGAAAAAAAAATGCTCATATAGATTTCAAGCTAAACTTAAAAGATCCTTGATTCTTGTCGTGGGTCGATTATCAGTTTGGTTGCTGCAGAGAATGGACTGTTAATGTGTAGCACCCTAGTACACTCTTAAACTTCTCCATGCTTGTTGCATATTGTGATTCTTGAGACATTACACCGTGTCAAATTTCTCCACTGCGAAGGTGGTTTATGCTTTTCAAGCCTAACGTTGGTAGTCAAGTCAGAGTCTTTCTGAGGCGTAAAAAATTTGATGGGCACTGCCCGCTTTATATATCTATAGCAACATTGTTGAAGTGCAGTGTATTTCTTCCAACATTTTACACGATCATGGGTGGATCAAGCCCTTTCTTTGTGTTCTTACTCATCACCACAATTTTACCTTGTGGACTTCAAGAAAGGCTTGAAAGATCCTTCCGATCGACTCTCATCTTGGATCGACAATGTTGATTGCTGCCAATGGGAAGGAGTTATTTGTAGCAAAAAAAAGTGGCCATGTGGTTCAACTTCACCTTCAAAATTCTGCCCCTATAGTTGATGATCTCATTGATGCTGAGTTTTTCTCTGAGTTTGAGCACGGTAATGATGGGGGTGATCCTAAATCAGCATTTAGTGGTAAAATCAATTATTCTTTACGAAATTTGACTTATTTGCATTAACTTGATCTAAGTCAAAATGATTTCAACGGAATTCCAATTCCAAGTTTTTTAGGGTCTTTCAAAAGTCTAAGGTATCTAGATTTATCTGGAGCTGGATTTCAAGGAATGATTCCCTATCAGATTGGAAACCTATCAAGTTTATGCACTTTCAGCATAGAAGGCTATACGTCTGATCTCCAAGCTGATAACTTGCAATGGTTGGCAGGTCTTTATAATCTAAAGCACCTAGACATGACTAATGTGGACCTTAGTGCAGCATCTAATTGGCTAGAGGTGCCTAATATGATCCCTTCTTTGGTTAAGTAATCGTTGTCCTATTGTCACCTTGTTCAAATTTCTCAACTCGTTCACGCCAACTTTTCTTCTCTTACCGTCCTAAATGTTTCTGGAAATGGTTTTGGACACTTCATTCCTAGATGGATTTTTGGTCTTACTACACTTGTTTCTCTTGATTTACGTGGGAATTCGTTTGAATTTCCATGGATCAGAGGTCATTGGAACTTGACTTCTCTCCATCACTTGGATCTTTCTGAGAACGGTTTGAATGGCTCATTACCAGATGAGATTACTCGTCTTAATAATCTCATTTCTTTCAACCTTGGCAACAACCAATTCGAAAGCTGCTTGGATGGAATTTGGAATTGGAGTTCCCTTACATCTTTGGATCTATCCGATAACGACCTCTCTATCTTTCTCCCAAGCCTATTATCCACTTTAACTTCCCTTGTTTCACTTGTTCTTAGCGACAATGACTTTCAAGGTTATATCCCAGGTTCAATTGCCAACATTTCCAGCCTTCGGTATCTTGATCTATCTTTAACAATCTTAGCTCCTCTTTGCCAAGTGAACTATTCGCATTGAAGGACTTGATTACACTTGACACAACTAGTAATCAATTGAATGGTCCAATTCCAAGCACTGTTGGCAACTGTACCAAGCTAAAAGTCCTTAGGCTAACTCTTCGTGAAAGTCTTGGACAACTTTCCAAACTTGAAAAGGTTTTTGTTTGGAAAGGCATTTTTCTTCGAAATTTTTTTGCATTTTTTGCAAACATATTTTTTACCTCAAACAATTCTAATCATTACAATAAATTTTTCTACAAAAACTCCAAAAATAGCAACCCAAACAAGTTTGAATTAATAACTTGATGGAAAGTATCATGAGTGAGAATCACTAAGATAACTAGACTAGTCTAAGGAACTTTATAGGATCTGAAACTCCTTGATCTTAAAAGTAAGTGCAAGTTGGATTCTCCGTGCCCAATTTATGATACTTGATTTGGGTTCTTGGAAGCTGGGTCCTCAATTTTCTACATGGCTCTAGTCTCAAAAAAACCTTACTGTTTTGAACTTGTCCTCCACAGGAATTTCATATACTATTCCCCCTTGGTTATTTAGCTCATCAATAAACTACATGGACCTTTTTCACAATCAATTCATGGTAAGAGTTCAAATATCTCTGAAATTGTTAAAGATTTAGATTAATCTTTTCTACACTGTCAGCGTACGTTGACGTTTGATGAATAACAATTATGTAAATTTTGAATTTAAAATTCAACTCATAAGTGTATACACTATCAGTATATATAATATTTTACTTTAGAGGTTTATACTTACACTGTAGTGAAACAGATTACTACCATAATTAATTTCTCATCCTCTGACATATTTAGAACTTTCCAACAATTTGTCTTCAGGAGATATTTCTCACTTTTTGTGTGAGGTGAAGAATGAAAGACAAAATCTTAATTATCTGGATCTTAGAGAGAATTCTCTATCAAGAGAAATTTCTTGACTATTGGATGAATTACCCATCCATGAAATATATCACTCTCAGCAGCGGCAACTTCACTGGAAGCATTCCAAGGTCACTGGTTAATTTGGAATATCTAAATCATTTGGACTTGGGCAATAACAAAGTCTCACTGGGCCGATACCGTCGACTTTGTAAATCATACACAAGTTTGCTGGATAATGTGGACAATGTGGTGAAAATGGGGAGGAGTTCAGCTCATGGTATAACTAGTTTCAGGAATTGTCCACAGACTTTTAGGGAGCTGTTGGGCCAAGAAGTTAGTGGAGTTGCATTTCATGGCGCTCCATAAAACTAAAAAAAAAAAAAAAAAAAAAAGGGGTTCTTCGTTGTATATTGTAATTTTTGAGGCATTACATCGTGTCATACTTGGTCACTTTTTAAAAAAAAAAAAAAAGCTTATTCCAGAAAATAGTAATTCTCCTAACTGTGGTAGTTCTTTGATTTTTTTTTCTTCCCATCAACTAAATATATGGTAAGAAAAATTGTGCTATCAAAAAAGTTAAGGACCAATTTTGCCAAAATTGAATGTTTCAGAGACTATATTTTATTTGAATTAACCTTTCCTACACTGACAGTGTATACATTATCAGCATTGAATAAATGACAATTATATAAAATTTGAATTTAAAATTCAATTTTTACACACATGTCATGAATCTAACGGTGATAATGTATACACTGTCAATGTCCTAGCAGACGTAAGGCTGTGCTTAGCACAGCTCATGCCCACTTAAAATTTCAAGAACAATTAAGTAGAAATCATTCTTTCGCATAAAATCAATAGAAGACAAAAGTATAGAATATATGCCCACTTATGTGTATTACTAAATACAAGAGTAAATCTTTATCCTATCACTAAATATTAATTAGTAATTAGTGATTTGGTTAACTAACTATAAAATTTTAATGGAAGTTGATACATTGGAGTTTAGCTTAACAATTAAATTTGAAATTCTTATTTATTTCAATATTGTTTAAGAATTGAGATTATGACTTAGAACTTAGGATTATGAACCCTTTTTTGGCATATCATGTTTGTTTGAGTAAGTCGATTAATTTTGTTGAAAAACATGTGGGATATTATTTTGTTATAACAATTTTTTTAGAGAAAATTAAAATATTTTAACTCACTACTGATTCTCCAATCCAATTTATCAAATTAAGGTTTGGACAGTAATTTTATATGGGTCTTAAAATCAATTCCCAAATTACCAAAAATTGTTTTACCGAATTTTCGATTATCGACCAATAAATACCCATAAATATAAGAGCCAGATTTGTTTGATTTTGTAAGAACAAAAGGCCAAAATAAATGCAATGGCAAGAATAGCAATGTCCAAAAAATATTAGCAAACTACTTGTCAAACTATTACGAAGCCACGTGACGAGCAAGGAGGCAAAACACGAAAGTTCACTTCTTTCTTATATAATAGGTAGATATAAGATTTACTCTATTTATTTTGGCTAAAATGTTAGTGGTCAAATTGGTTCAAATATTGAGATTAAAATTGCAATCTCCCTTTGTTACATTAGTCCTATTGTCAACCATAGAACTTCAAGAAGAATGCAAAAGGTTTTCATTATCATTTTTTCCTTTTTACAACTTGTGCACACGATAAAATAAATTTTGTTCCTCTATTCAATTCAAAAGTACGATGTTGACATTTTATTTAGTTCTAAGTTATCAAGACTTCGATACAACATATTTTTTGTCTAAGTTATTGACTGCTTGGCGTTTCAATTATATATAAACATGTGTGTGTGGGTTGAATTCAACTTGAATGCGATTAATGCGAGTTTGACCTCGAGTTTTAATCAAATAAACACGTCGATTTATTCGGTCCCCGCCACAACTATCACGAGGCCAACTTTCCTATAAAACTAATTTGCTTCTGAGCTGATAAACCTAAAATGTCATAATGAAGCCTTTTGCATTTTACTTTATGCTCAATTTGAAAGTCTTAGGTATGAAATTCATCTTATTTTACTGGACCATTCAAACATGAATAAATAAATCCATGTAAACTACAACTCTAATTATAACTTGAACCTTATGTTTTTTACTCTAATCTTTTTTATGCTATATTGTAATTCAATATTTGCTTAGAGTGACTTAAGCCTCGTTTGATAATTCAATTTAGCACTTAATTTAATGGATTCAGATCTTAATATGTTCAAACATATTTAATACTGAAAAATTAAACATCTGAATTAATTAAATAACACTGATTTTTTGTAAAGTAAAACTTGCTTCCAAAAATAAGTGATATACACTCAAATATATTTGATTTAATACTTAACAAATCAATAAGTTATTGGATTCAGACTTCAAATTTCAGTTTTCAGATTTCAATTTTATCAAACGTACCCTTAGTCCTTAGTCAAGTGTGTTAACTGTTAAACTCACGCATTCAATCATCAGATACTTGCAACTACCAAAAGTCTCTCAGTTAATTGTAATTAATTCGCGTTGTGGTGTTAATATTCGCGTTACTAAGTAGAGAAGTATTCATTTCTAACATTAATGGTTGCCCTTCTGATTCCTTTCTTTCTTCAAACAAAAAATGCTAATCTTTAAACAGATGAGCAAAATTTTGTTGATGAATCTGTCGATGGATTGCAGCAAACTCGTCTAAATCGGCCATAAGCGTCCTTTCTTGAATTCCAGATAGAGATATGTAATCGTTTTCATTTGAGTCATGAGCTGCCACCGACAGACTGCTTTCCTTGAATGTGCCACAGAATGTTGAAACACATGGATCTCGTTTGAATTGCAAGTTGATCAGAATTTTTTTTTTAAAATTTTCCTCGACGTACCTTCTAATTGTTATTTTATTTGAAAGAAATGTTCAAGACGTTCCTCACATTTTGTTAAATGATTTTTTCATCCTTTACTTTTAAAATAATAGATTTACATCCCTTACAAAATCAAGTCAACCAAATTTAATCCTAACCTAATTTTTGACCATTTTTTACTTTGAATCAATTGTGTGACTCACATATGATCATTTCTTTAGGAACAAAAAAAGTATATTTTATTTATAGTTAAACAAATGACGTAATCTATATTCGCTTTTGTCTCTAAAAGAGTAGAATTTGGCCTGAATCATGTGTAGTTTTTCTCCTAAAAAGTGCAATTTGACCTAATCTATATTCATTCTTTCCATTAAAAAGTAGGATCTGACCTTTTTATATATAAAAAAATAATTGCATGTGGGACGGTGGTGATTTTAGGGTGAAAAAATGATCGAAAACTTAGGTAGAGACTTCAGTGTAAGTTAATTTAAATTTGTAAGAAACATAAATTAACATTCTAAAAGTGAGAGATAAAAAAAATTTATTTGACAAAATATAAAAAATATTTTGAACAATTTTTTCTTTTTATTTCACATATTCCACGTCCTTATTACTATCTAAAGCCTCCAATCCAAAAGGGCGGTGGTGGCTTTCTCGGTCAAGCTATCAGCAAACTGTAGCTTGTGACTACAAATTTAAGCACATAGTAACAAAAAGGAAATTTAGAGCCTTCATTGTTGACTATTTGGAATTCACAGGCTTTCCGGTCAGAGGGGCAAGCCGACATGATTTGATTCATTATATTCTCTTCAAATTGTATATTTTCTTCTCTGACGTGAGAATTGTTAATCAGAGTAATGGTATATTACTATATTTGCACTCTTCTTTCCAATTGACTGTTCTTTTTGTGGTAACTCTTTGTTTCCTGTTTGCCCGAAGCCTAAAACACATCAAAGTACTTCTTTTTTTGGGTTAAAATTTTCAACCTTTCCACCCCTTTTCATATCATTTTTACCCCTAATTACTAGGTGTACAAGTTGAACTCTAAAATCAAGGACGATAAAACTCTAAAAGCTCTCTTTCCTGACCATCGGACCAACCTATGACTTCAAATCTTCTCTCCTTTGAGGAATTCACAGTCAAGAAGTCGATGCAATACGGTAGAAATTCATGTTGCCTTAGAAAGAAGATTCTTGGCCTTTGAGGAAGTGAGCTTATATCCATTGTGAAGTCTCATCGTATACAAAACA